GCCTTATTCTGTGCTGCTTTTCCTGTTGGATTTGTTTCTGCTTCACTTTTCAAGACAAAGCCAAACTTACAGCTTCCAGAATTTGATTTATTAAGCCGAATGCATCTAGTTAAATCAGTTTAACTAGACTCACTCAGCAGCCAGACATTTTCAATGTGCAAAAATCACAGAAATGCATGATTATACCACATATCTATGTACAACTTTTAATTTATATACATGATTATGTACAGAATTTCAGACAAGTAGCTCCGTATTTACATTCACCAACACTGTCTGGCTCTTTACACATTCAACACAAACATCTGCAGTGATTTCACTGGTCTTACGAAGCACAAATGAGAACGGTTTCAAGGACACAGACTTAAGTGCGTATACTTTTCTTGCCACACAACAACTGGACTGTAAGCGGGAGCTGCTTTGCCATGCGTAGGCCAAGGCTTCGACTTCTGTTTATTAATGATAGAACATATACAGCCTTGTGCTCCTTCTGCTGATGTTATGCAGGCGTATCAGGAGCCCTGAGCATCTATTTTACACACACATACAAATTACTGACACATAAACTCACTCACCCACACAGGAGACGGCATTTCTTCAGGAGGACAAATACCTGGATCAACAGTTCTGTTCAGGCACAGACCAGACAGACTCCGGGGGGCTTTGAGTCCACGCCCTTCTAACCTCAGACCCTTTCGGTCGGATGGATCATGGTCTCCTGAGGACCCTCCACAACAAATAACCCAAATTAGTCCTAATAATGTGTCATATCGTATCTACATCGTACGAATTTGTGCTTTTTTTCAGATTTGAAGACTTTCATGTAAGATTTGAAACATTGTTTCTCCTCAATTTTGTTTCAAGCCACCTCATTTGAGCTGATGATAATATAAAACTTGAGAGGCCTGAGAACAGTTCATATTTCTTCATTTATTTAGTCATTTGTTTATTAACTCCTGTTCATTCATTCATTTTATTTATGTATCTGCTGTCCAGTATATTCAAGCCTAGTGGTCTTTGGCCCCCCAGAGCTCCTGGCAGTCAGAGGTAAAGGGCAGGAATCCATCCCTTCATATACTCACTGTCCACTTTATTAGGTCCACCTAGCTTGTTCTTACACTCATTGTCCATTTTATCTACTTGCCATATAGGAGCATTTTGTAATGCTACAATTACTTTTGTAGTCCATCTGTTTCTGGTGGTCTGAACAGGAATTATTTGAGTGTTTACCAGTTTTGGGTTTTTTTGCCTATTAAAGTAGCCAGTGAGTTTTATCCATAATGTGGTTATTTTGAACAACAACAAAACATAATGTCACCACTAGGGGGCACTGAGAACTAGCTAAATCTTACTGTTTCATACCAAACCAGATCTCGAACAAAGCTTTTCTCAGCAAAGTGGACAAAGTGGACTTAATGACAGTGACAACTCACAAATGTCTAGTAGTTAGGCAGTGTAGCGGTTGCCGTTCCGATTCCTGGAACAGTATTAATTTCTACCATGCATCAGTGAGCACTTCCTAATCCTCTCTGAACCGGAGGAAAATTCACCTGTCAGTTTTTGCACTTCAGATCATTAAATTGGGAACCTCAATTTGTTGAAAACATGGAAACACCAAGTTTAGTAGAAATCAAGCATTTAAACACAAAGAAGAATTTAATAATTTGCATGTGTTTAGCTAACATTAGTGAATCTGTTAAAAAACATACTGAAGGTGGCTAAAGCTCTGTAGCTCTTTTCAGTTCCCAGAAATTGAACAAACCCTTTGAAATTTTGCAGCCAATTGTTCAAATTATGAAAACTTCACAGTCTTTGCCAACGTTAGCCAAAAGTTAACTCCCTAATAGGTAGGCAATAGTAATGTTAGTCCAGGCTCATCATTACAGCAAATCAATTCAGGTCGTGAATCTATACTAGCAAATCTATCCAGGAGGATCATGATGGTCCAGAATCTACATTAGCAAATCTATCCAGGAGGATCATGATGGTCCAGAATCTACATTGGCAAATCTATTCTAGAGGAACATGATGGCCCAGAATCTACATTGGCAAATCTATCCAGGAGAAACATGATGATACAGAATCTACATTAGCAAATCTATCCTAGAAGAACATGATGGTCCAGAATCTACATTAGCAAATCTATCCTATAAGAACATGATGGTCCAGAATCCACATTAGCAAATCTATCCTAGAAGAACATGATGGTCCAGAATCTACATTAGCAAATTTATCCAGGAGGTACATGATGGTCCAGAATCCACATTAGCAAATCTATCCTAGAAGAACATGATGGTCCAGAATCCACATTAGCAAATCTGTCCTAGAAGAACATGATGGTCCAGAATCTACATTAGCAAATCTATCCTAGAAGAACATGATGGTCCAGAATCTACATTAGCAAATCTATCCTAGAAGAACATGATGGTCCAGAATCCACATTAGCAAATCTATCCTAGAAGAACATGATGGTCCAGAATCCACATTAGCAAATCTATCCTAGAAGAACATGATGGTCCAGAATCCACATTAGCAAGTCTATCCAGGATGAACACGATGGTCCAGAATCTACATTAGCAAATCTATCCAGGAGGTACATGATGATACAGAATCCACATTAGCAAATCTATCCTAGAAGAACATGATGGTCCAGAATCTACATTAGCAAATCTATCCAGGAGAAACATGATGGTCCAGAATCTACATTAGCAAATCTATCCAGGAGAAACATGATGGTCCAGAATCTACATTAGCAAGTCTATCCAGGATGAACACGATGGTCCAGAATCTACATTAGCAAGTCTATCCAGGAGGACCATCATGGTCCATGTCTGCAGATCACTTTGGGAGAGGGATCTACTTCTGGAGTACTGCCTAACTACAGGTGAGCTAGAACACTGATTACATCAGCTGGCATCAATTAAAGGGTCATTGATCCAGGAACATATCCTACGTGAAGAAATCAAGTTCTCCCACACACACATGCTGGGCTAATCGTTGCTAAGAGGTGACAACATGTTATATTTGAGGCACACAGTTAGCATGAAGCACAGCACCTTCGCTTCTCCTCATCAGGAGCGAGAGGATGCTGCTGTATCTACAGTGCTCGTTTTGTCCTCCAGATTTTTATGAAATTTAAGGCAACGGATGTTCTTTCATTCGCTCTACCTCATTTCGTTTACCAGACAGATTTATCTACAGTTGACATTTGTGAAACTTCAAGGCATCACTTGATGTCATCTGTACACGGTCGGTAATGAAATGCAGTGCTCCTCTTCCGTCCTCCCTGATCTTCTGAGTTTGATGGTTTGATGTTTGTTGCTTCCTCTTTGACCAGAGGCCGCCGTCCAGTGTTCATTATATGATGCGTCTGAAACTCGTCTTTAATCTGATGAGATTGTAGCAGAACAGTTTTTGTCTCCAACCACCGGTGCATCCACAGTGTAGAGGGTTAGTGTTGTGCTCGCTACGTTTCTATGGATTTTACAGAAGGTGAAATGAGACCAGGGACACGGGAAGCGTGGTCGTTCTGGGTGTTGCCCTTTCTACAGTCAGGATTCTTTCGTTGAAGCTACTAAAAATAAAAAAGAACAGATTTTTAAAAGTATTTTTAATTTACTATTGATCTGTGTGCTTGTTTCAAAATCTGCATTAGTCTATTAAATTTGACATTGTCATTTGGTTTACATTCCACCAGTTTGGTTCCCAATGACACTGACCATTAGTCTCAGCTTCAAAGAGAAAGAGAACCCTGTTGAAAAAAAACCCTTAGAACCAACAGAATTGAAACCTGATAGTTTTGCTTTAATGGGAATTTGCTGAATGGTTACCATTAAGGACCACTAGTTTCCTGTATGACACCTTTAGATCCCATTTTGGAAACTATCAGTTGCATCTGGAATGAGTTCCAGAATACCTATTAAACCATTAGAGTCTTTTACACTGTGATATTGACCCATGAGGAAAACATAAAACACCGTTACTGACTACTGAACACCATCAGGAACCAGCAGGAACTTTTACTGGTCTCTCTGATTTTTTTTCAGAGAGAGGATAGGTAGCTGATTAGGAACTGCAGAATCACCAAGCTAAAGTTGGCGCTACTACAGCTATTCCTGAAGAGAGAAAGCAGTGTAATCATCTAGATCTAGATCAGCTGGCTAATGTTAGCTGTACAAGAGCTATTCCTCACGAGAGAGAGCCCATTAGGAAACCATCAAATGCATTTAGAATCAGCCATTGGTCACTTGTTGAACCATTAGGATCCTTTACATTAAAAAACCCCATTAAAAATGTCAAATCTATCAGGAACCAACAGAAACACTTCATTGTTTCTACGGGCTTTTCCAGCAGGGATGTAAGCCCTACAACAGCTATTGTTAATGAGAGGAATCCTCAGATCAGCTGGCTAACCTAGCCTCACGCCTGCTATTCCTAACAAGAGACAGCATAGCAATCCGTGCCCCCAGACCAGCTAGCTAACATTAGCTCTTCAACAGCTTTTCCAAGCAAGAGAAACCAGGTGATTCTCCAGATCTGCTGGCTAACATTAGCCATTAGCTCTTTGTCAGTTATTCCTAGCAAGAAAGAGCAAGTGATTCTCCAGACCTGCTGGCTAACATTCGCTGTACAATAATAAGGTATTAAGCTATTCTTAGCAAGGGAATTCTTAGCAAACTGAGAGCAATAGCTGATGTTAGCACACCGGCTATTCCTGGTGAGAAAGCAAAGTGATTCTTTGGCTAATTTAGCTAAATTTGGCCCTAATCCTTCTCACTTCCAGAACAGCTAGCTAACGTTAGCCCTACATCCCAGCTATTTCTACTGACAGAGCGCGGAGTGATTCTCCAGATCAGCTGGCTAACTTACCGCTATTACAGCAGTTCCTGACTGAGACTTTCCAACCAAAGGGTTCTGATTTTATCTGGTGTAGTTTTTAGCTATAAATGCCTTCCCGCATCCCTGAATGAGAAGCATGAGAGTGTTTGTGTGTCCAGCGGTCACAGGCTGACGGTGGATTCATTGAGTCCAGGGCAGCTTTCGGCCTTCGTGACGGATGCGCTCCTGCGCCGGCGGCCGTGAATTCCAAAGAGGCGACACACGGCGGCCCTGTACTTCTCCGACATGATGTTGTAGAGGATGGGGTTGATGGCGGCACTGAGATAAAAGAGCACGAAGGAGATGAGGCTGCAGTACTGGCTGATCAGAGACATGATGGGGGAACCCGCGGCTGAGGAGGCGGAGATCAGGAAGCGGACCACGTGGAAGGGAAGCCAGCAGAGCACGAAGGCCAACACCACCACAGCTACGGAGGGGAGAGAAAACAGAAACGTGATGACTGACGAAACTCCAAACCATTGAACATGCTTCCCAATTTAACACGTGAAACATACGAAACATGCATGAATGAGATGGAAATGAAGACCAGGGTGACATTGAGTATGCAGGATTACATCACGTATTAAGCCTCAGTCACACTAGATATTTGCAGCTTGTGTTGCTTTGTGAAATGGGCGTGGCTGAGGCTGGACTGACAAATTACCGTGGACTGTGTTGGTTCAGTTAGTGAGCTAGCTAACTTTCCAACCCTAAACAGTTATGACATTAAAGCGAGGAAATAAGTTATACACTCGTGAGGGACTCGATTCTTGGATCTGAGAATCAAATATGTACATTTCTTTGTCTTTAAAAACCCCAAAAATATTTGAGGAAAACCTTCAGCTTAACAGCTCAGTCAAACTAGAATCTGCCAGCGAATCTTTGCCAGAGGAACTACATTCATTTCAGTGGAATGATGAGTGATTTCACTCTTAAACTTGCGCGGGAATTTTACATCAAGTTCAACTTGGTGAACTTTGACATGTTTATTTGTGTCTTCAGCCAACAGCGCTGCAACTAATGAGTAGTAATGAAGTATAGTCAACTAGAGTGGGTAGAGTCAGTGGGGTGCTGTGTGCAGTTGTTGTTAGCCAACAAGCTAACAGTGCAGTTAGCTGGGTAACTAGTCTAAAACAAACTGCAAAACCATAAAAGTAAATATAATAATACTGTCTCCCAGCTGACTGCCTGCCAGTCTCCCTTTATGTGTTTATTTATGGTCAGAGGGAAATAAATGTTCAAAGTTTGTGTTTAGACAAAGCTAAAATTAGCATTTCCTTAATCTTGCAGGTTTAGTGCTGTTAAATGAAGCTCCACCCCTTCAAAGGCCAACACAGCGTAATGCTGCCGGATGTTGGAAATATCATATATACGAGATGAACGTACATGAACTCCACCACAATGCCATATTCACTATAGGGAAACTCTACTTTTCCCAATCAGTGACAGTTACTGACCGTTGGATTGTAAACTGGTTGTATTTTAGTTATTCAGCAGCCACACACAAACACTGCAGTCTAAAATCATCCATACGCGGAAATATAAATATAACCTTGTTATGTGATGTGTGTAACTGGATAAAAGCTTTATTCGTTTTGCAAGCATCCTCTGCTCCTCTGATTTCATTGCAGTAATGCAAAACAAACAGACTCTTTCTTTTCTTTTTGAGAGAAAAACAAAAACATTATTTCCAATGCGTCTGTTTTGTTTCTGACCAAAACCACTTAAACAAGTCAAGCCGTACTTATGACCTCAGGAGTCACGAAGGCTACGTTCACATTACAAGCCTTGTTGCTCAAGTCTGATTTCTTGCTCAAATCCGATCTCTCTGACAGGATGGTTCACGCTCGTTTAGGTAAGTGATTCAAATCTGTCATTAATGTGACGAACCGGCGTCCTGAAATGACCCTCGTGAGCTCATCCTACTCAGTAACGTCACGTGAATGAATCACGTTCATCATCAGCACAAACTAACGAGCAGAACGAGCTTCGCTGAGAAGATCATTAACTCTGATCAGCTCTCAGCTTCATTATTAGAGCGAGACGAAGGAGAAAAAGGTGAGATGAGCTGCTTTTCCACCGTTTACAGGCTTTAACTTCTGTTCGGTGCTGCTGCCATGGTAACGCTGAATGATGGCGCAGTGGAAAAAAAGCAGATGAGTTCTGATCTGAGCGTCACAATAAGGTCACATGACCACAAATCGGATACGTATCCGATCTAGGACCACATATGAAAGTGGCTCAGGTCGGATTTGAAAAGATCAGATGTGTGTCCATACAGCTCTGAGTCACATTAGGGCAAAAAATCTGATTAGTGCCACTTCAACCTGGAAATAGCCGAATTCACTTGTCAAAGTTCAACAAAGTTGAACTCAATGTGAAATTTGCAGTAACTTTTTTTTGCGAAATCACATGATGTAGTAATTTCCACTGAAATGAAGGTAATTTCTCTTGTGAAAATTCGCTGGCAAGCGCTCGTGTCTCGTGAGTCTTTAAACTGAAGGTTTCTGTCAAAAAACTTTTGGGGTTTATGAGGCAAGAAAACATTTTAGCACTTACAATTCCAAGTGACGTGAGCTGATTCCAAGAGTCGATTCCCAAAATAATGTTCTTGATTCTATATTTCAAGAATGAAGACTTTTCCAATTTGCAGTATGCAGAAACTCTACGGTGATCTGTCAGGCAGGTGTAAGTGTGCACACAAGCCAGAGTGGAAATTCAGGTAAGATTGACGCAGTAATTTAACTGCAGGAGATCTCAGGATGGCTGCTGTCAGTGGAACTGGGTGGTGTTCTGAGTGATCACCAGGAGCCGTATTACAGAAACACTTTAACTCTGAAATCTGATCTGTTTGGTCTCCTTGACGACTGAATTCAGGACAGTAGCTATAACAGAATAACAGGTCCTAACTTCATAATCTCATCATGAACTCCAGATAAGAAAACAGCATCACACAAACATCCTAACTAGACTAAACCTCCTAAATCCTGTCCTAACTTTAGGATGAACCCCAACAGGGTCCTCACTTCTGTTTAAGGTCCGTTTCTATGGTTTTTAGGCAGCTGAGTCAGCAGCAGAGTTCACTACCAGCATAATGAGCTCCATTTATCTCTACTGTAAAACGCTGCTTTCACTGTGAGATGATTTTCTTTTCTAACTCTGCGTTTTAAAGATCTCAGACGCTGCAGACTCGATCTCCACCACCCCTCTGATCACCTTCGTGTGTTAATGTTGATGATGAAATATTACAGTGATGGTGGTGAATAATGAGGAGACGGAGCTGAACGTGCGTCTGATTATTAGGAGGAGTAACATTAGCGCGCTCGGCTAAAGCGTTTGGGAAATGGAGACTGAAACTGGGGAGCGGCGGTGGTCTGATAAACAGCAGGGGGCGCTCTCACAGTATTCACAACCTACAATTTATCACACTTTAGTTTTGACCCTTTTACATCAGTAACGGCAGCTGTAACTCATTTTAACGTTATTTTGATTACGCGTTTATGTTTTAGCTGTGTGTATATTGTCGGTTGCTAGGCAACAGACGTGACAGTTGATTATCGATCTCGATCGAGCAGGTTGCGATTTCCTAACTGGAGATAAGACGCTGTAAGATCAGATAAGGTTTGTAAATTAAGATCAGATTTGCTTCTGTAATACAAATTTGTGAAAAATCATATCTTGACCTGTCAGATCTTGTCAGTGTCTGTAATACAACCCCTGGTAGACTGACGACCTTCAGCTTGACCCTGTCATCTTTTGATCATCGCTGTTTATCAAATCTCTCTCAGACTGACAGATTTTATCCAATGAAACGAAAGTTATTAGGCTAACTAGCAAATTCCAGTTTATCAGCGTGGATCATTTCCGTCAAACCACTGGAAAACATTTTCATATCTAAATCTTCACCCTGGACGTCACCGACAAAAGCGGTGGACGGAAACTGATCTATACGCAAAACAGTAAAGTGAGCGATGCAGCACTGTTTCAACCAATAGCTAAGGAAATGGCCCAGAGTGCCGACCTGGAGCTCACTGGTCAGCAGAATATCTCACAGGGAAGTTTCACTGGAAAAAAACCGCATCCCTCACTTAAAGGTGCTCTAGAGACAGTGTGGAGTTTTGACATAACGGCCAGTCTGACAGGGTTGAACTGAACACCAGGTGACCGCTCGTATCCCGCTCCGCTGATAACAGGGTGTGTTACTATATCTAATGGGATCTATTAGACCAGGAATATTCCCCATTCAAACACACAGCCTCTATTTCACACGTCATTGCATTCTAAAAAGTGTGACAACACGATTCATAATGCTGCAGACATCAGCTCAGCTTTCTCCTACTGACCTTGATGGAGAATAGAACAGAATAGAATAGAATAGAATAGAATAGAACAGAACAGAACAGAGAGACAATTTAGATGTTTTTGATCTTTTGGAATCATTTTTACATTGTTTTACATATATTCACAGTGCTTCACTGACAATGACATTCAATTCAATTCAATTCAATTTTGTATATGAAATATATAATTATACAGTGTATGAAGGGAAGGTCAGTTTGGAACTTTTTGTATTCTGTTAAATTCTATAAAAATTTTCTGTTCAATTCTATACTATGCTGTTCTTTTCTGTTCAATTCTGTTCTATTTTGTATAATTCTATACTATTCTATTCTGTTCTATTCTATAATATTCAGTTCTTCTCTCTTCTGTTCTATTTTGTGGAATTCTATACTACTGTATTCTATACTATTCTATTCTATAATATTCTGTTCTTCTCTATTCTTTTCTATTTTGTGGAATTCTATACTACTGTATTCTATACTGTTCTGTTCTATTCTGTTTTTTTCTGTACTACTCTGTTCTATACTGTTCTGTTCTATTCTATACTATTTTATTCTGTTCTATTCTATAATATTCTTTTCTTCTCTATTCTGTTCTATTTTGTGGAATTCTATACTACTGTATTCTATACGATTCTATTCTGTTCTATAATATTCTGTTCTTCTCTATTCTGTTCTATTTTGTGGAATTCTATACTACTGTATTCTATACAATTCTATTCTGTTCTATAATATTCTGTTCTTCTCTATTCTGTTCTATTTTGTGGAATTCTATACTACTGTATTCTATACGATTCTATTCTGTTCTATAATATTCTGTTCTTCTCTATTCTGTTCTATTTTGTGGAATTCTATACTACTGTATTCTATACAATTTTATTCTATTCATTATTCTGTTCTTTTCTATTCTGCTATATTTTGTGGAATTCTATACTACTGTATTCTATACAATTCTATTCTGTTCTATAATATTCTGTTCTTCTCTATTCTGTTCTATTTTGTGGAATTCTATACTACTGTATTCTATATGATTCGATTCTGTTCTATAATATTCTGTTCTTCTCTATTCTGTTCTATTTTGTGGAATTCTATACTACTGTATTCTGTACAATTCTATTCTGTTCTATATTATTCTGTTCTTTTCTATTCTGCTCTATTTTGCGGAATTCTATACTACTGTATTCTATACTATACTGTTCTGTTCTATTCTATACTATTCTATTTAATTCTGTTCTATTTTGCTGTGTTCTGTACTGGTTTTGTTCTGTTCTATTATATACATTTTTCCTATTATATTTTGTTTTATTCTAGGCTGCTCTATTGTGGTAGAATCTGTTCTATTTTTTCTAGTCTATTCTATTCTGTTCTATACTATTCTATTCTGTGCTATTCTATTTAAGTCTGTTCTAAACCTCTGTTCTGTTTAATTCTTTACTACTCTATTCTGTTGTATAATTTTTTGTTCTGTTCAATTCTATATTATTCTATTCTGTACTATTATATGCTACTCCGTTCTGCTCAATTCTATACCATTCTATGCTATACTATTTTTATTTTATATTATACACTTCTGTTCTCTCTCTTCTGTTCCATTCTTTATTGTGCTATTCTACTGCTGTACAGCTGCTTTCTGTTCTGTTCTATTCTATACAGTTTATTTCTATTCTGTTTTACTCTGTTGTTTTACCCTATACTCCTCTGTTTTACTATATTCTGTTTTTTCTCTTCTATTTTATTCTATTCTCTTCTGTTCTATTCTATATGATTCTGCTCCATTCCATTGTTGTATTCTATACCACTCTATTCTGTTCTATTCTGTTTTTCTATTCTTTTTATTCTGCTCTATTCTTCTTTGTTCCATCCTAATCTGTTTTATTCTGCATTAGTATGTTCTGTTCTTCTCTGTTCTATTTTATATTAACCTGTTCTATTCGCTTCTACTTGGTTCTGTTCTGTTCTGTTTTGCTCTATATTAATGTGTTCTACTCTGTTCTATTGTAATTTTTCATTCTATATTAATCTGTTCTATTCTACTACACACTGTTGTATTCTTTTGTATTCTATTCTTTTTATTCTATTCTATACCACTCTATTCTATTCTGTTTTTCTGTTTTTTAATTCTTTATTATTTTATTATTTATTTCTATTCTTTATTATTTTTTAATGATTATTATGTTCTATTATACTCTGTTCTGTTCTATATTTTTACTTTATATCAACCTGTTCTATTCCCTTCTACTCTATTATGTTCTGTTCTATATTAATGTGTTCTGTTCTACTGTTATATTCTATTGTATACTATTCAGTTCTATTCAGTTCTATTCTATTCATTTGTATCTATTCTATTCTATTCTACTGTATTCTATTCAGTTCTATTCCATTGATTTATTGTATCTGTTCTGTTCGATTCTATTGTATTCTATTGTATTCTATTCAGTTCTATTCCATTGATTTATTGTATCTGTTCTTTTCTATTCTATTCTACTGTATTCTATTCAGTTCCATTCCATTGATTTATTGTATCTGTTCTGTTCTATTCTATTCTACTGTATTCTATTCAGTTCTATTCCATTGATTTATTGTATTTGTTCTGTTTTATTCTATTCTATTCAGTTTTATTCCATTCAGTTCTATTCTGTTCTACTGTTTTCTATTCAGTTCTATTCCATTGATTTATTGTATTGTTCTGTTCTATTATTTACATTTTGTTCTACTCTGTTCTGTTCTATACAGTTCTGTTGTGTTTTATTCTGTTCTGTTCTACAGTATCTAGGAGAACCTGTGTGGTTCTCTCCCTCGTGCATACATTTGGAACTTTACCGCGGACGTTTCATGGTAGACATGATGTGCGCTCTCGTGCGTATCGCGCGCCCATCCTCGCTCTCTCCTTCTTTTTCTTTCCCTCCTTTCATTTACCCTGCATCACCACATTGTCTCTCTCTCTCTCTCTCTCTCTCTCTCTCTCTCTCTCTCTCATTTCTCTCTTGCTCTTTCTCGATTACACAGCATCATCACACTGTCTGTCTCTCTTTCTGTCTTCCTCTCTCTCTGGGTTTGTGAGATGTGCTGCACTCTGCGTGCTTTGCGCCCTCGTGCGTAATGCTCTCTCTCTCTTACCCAGCAGCTTTATGCTCTGTCTGTGGTTCTTGTCCCTCGCGGAGCTGCGTGCGTCCGCACGCCGTCCCCGGCTCAGTTTCCTCCCGATCAGTGTGTACAGCACGCACAAGCAGAGCGCGGGAAGGGCCACGAGCGCGCCGCTCACGCACACCACGGCAGAGAGCAGCCCGGACTTCACCGCGTGCCGCGTGGCCGTGCACTCCGCCTCCGCGCGGCCCTCGCTCCAGTCCCACGTCCAGTTTCCGCTCCGGCTCTCGGTGTCGTTCTCGGCCTCGTGCCGCTCGCGCTCGTGCTCGTGCTCCACTCCGACCAGCGCGAGCACGGGGCCGGCGCTGCAGGCGCTCACGGCCCACAGCGCGAGGATGACGGCGCGCACGCGGCGGCGCGTCACGGCCACCTTGGCGCGCAGCGGGAAGCGCACGGCCAGGTAGCGGTGCACGCTGAGCGCGGCGATGCTGAGGGCCGTGCAGTGCGTGCAGCACTCGCTCACGAAGTGGAACAGCTTGCAGACGGCGCCGCCCAGCGGCCACGGCCGGTAGCGCCACACGCGCTGCAGGTCCAGCGGCATGCACGCGAACACCAGCAGGTCGGACAGCGCCATGCTGCGCAGGTACAGGTTGGTGGTGGTGCGCATGTCCCGGTAGCGGCTCACCACCACGATGGTCGTCAGGTTCCCCACCACTCCCGCCACGAACAACAGGGCGCACGCGACAGTCACGGCCACCAGCGCGGGCAGCGGGAAGAGCGTGAGCGGCGGCGGAGGCGGATGCGGGTGGTGCGGAGGGGCGCCGGAGACACCGCAGCGCGCGCAGTCCGAGCGGTTGGAGCCCGCGGGCATCGCTGCTGCTGCTGATGCTCGAGCTGCTGAACGCGAGTGTGGAGGGATGGTGCGAGGCTCGAGCTCCGGGACCCCACAGACCACGCCCCCCCCTCCCCTAACAGCACCTAGCACGTGTGGGCAGATTCAGAGGACATAATAATAATAATAATAATAATAATAATAATTATAATAATAATGATAATAAGGTCAACAAGCATGCACGATAATGCAACAATGTGACGTCTGGGCAGATAAAAGAGATGAAAGGATGTAAAACCTCAGTATGCACTAAAAGGGATGCAAAAATCACAGTAAAGCTAAAAACATGTAAGGCAGAATGCAAACAGTCACCAAAACAGTACCAAAGCATGCACACACAGAACTGGGGGGAATGTAGGAGCCAGACAGGTGGGAGGGGAAACATAGATAATAATAATAATAATAATAATAATAATAATAATAATAATCATCTATGAAAAGTTTAACACAATAAAACTTGATTGAATGAAAATGCCTGTTTTTTATTTCATATAATATTATATTTTGCTGTTGTCGTTTTGGCACATTTTGAATAAATCAGTCAGTTCATACGAAAATGTTGTTAAATATGAAATAAAACCAGGCATTTCTTTTGATTTTCATTCCTTTTACATGTTTAATGTGTTAAACTTTATATAGGTCTACTACTACATGTAACGGTCAAACCTCTTTAAGTTTGCCTAAACTACGCTCTTAAAAAAGATGGTTCTTTAAGGGTTCTTTAGTAAAAAGCAATGATTCTATATAGAACCAAGAAGGGTTGACATCGTCATTATAGTTGATCCCTTTTTGTTGCTACAAAGAACCATTTTCAAAACCATATATAACCATATATAACACATTCTACATCGATCTGAAGAACCATTTCACCATGCAGAGAACCATTTGGTAACACTTTCTATGAATGTCACCTTTGCAAGCATCTATAAACACATTTATAACATGTTATAATGTATTCATAAGGCATTATAAACATGGTTATAAATATTTATAAAAAAGAATTACACTTAATTATCCTTTATAGCCATGTTTATTATACATTATGAATAGTGTTGATAACATGTTATAATGTCAGTGCCAATTAAGTCAGTCCCAGCTTGGAGAGTTTAAAGTAAAGACAAATACAGAGTTTATTTCCACCCTGAGATTTCCAGTATTGTATTTCTCAGTGCTGGAGCTGTTAGAGCTGCATCTTCAGGGCTTCAGTCCTGAATATTCAGATGCTCCAAACAGGCTGTCCAGCCTAGAATCACTGCTACAGTGAGCTTTTCTTACCCAGCGCTGTCAGCACTACAGTACAGTACAGTAATGCTAATTTCTGCTAGTGTTCTATTGGATATGCAGTGTTAAGTTAGTGCCAAGCTAACGGTGGTGTACATTACCTTTCCCACATTGGGTAAAACACTGATGCAGCTCTAGTTTAAACTCTGACATTTGAAGCCTGTAATGTGCTTTACTGTGAATGTTTTAGTGTTTCAGTAAATCCTTCAGTAAATACTTCAACTTGAAGCCTCACTCTGAACACTGGAGGAGGCTTTAGTACAGTACGCTTCACTTTACTTAGAGCGGACAAATACCACTTATGAGCTCTTATAATTTATAAACAATACTTATAATGCACTATGTTAACAATTCATAATGCATAATAAGCATGGTTATAACGTGTAATGCATTTTTATAAATATTTATTACCATGTTTATGATGCCTTATGAATGCATTATAACGTTATGAATGTGTTTATAGATGCATACAAACGTGATAGTCATAGAAAGTGTTACCAAACGATCTTTATTAAGAATGTACACACCTGGCATCCTTCTTTTGTATGCTGGAAGGGGGGTCACAGCGCATATTATGTTGCAGTGCATGCTGGGCTGTAGTGCAGTACATTGTGAAACGGGCTAATATTAAGAAAATGTAAAATTTTTTCACAGGCCGGATGAAATTGTGCCTTGTGTTTGTGCGTTATGTTGGTACATGCTGTGAAATGTAAGGCTGACAAATTTAAATGTTCCATTTTGTTAATTATTTATTAATGAATCCATGCGCATGCAGTACTGTTTTTATTTACCTATAATGAATCACTAGCAACAAGCATTAAAGCAATGTTTCTGCTGCTTACAGCAACGAACATCTTGTTTTTTTACTGCCAAACAGACAAACAAAACAATTATTCATCATTAACAGGAAATTGGAACGTTCATAAAAACAGCTTAATGTGTTCGTATTAATAGCTTGTAATCGATTGTAATAGCTGGTTTCATAAATGACAATATATATGACGTAAACACACCGATCAGGCATAACATTCTGACCACCTCCTTGTTTCTACACTCATTGTCCATTTTATCAGCTCCACTTACTATATAGGTGCACTTTGTAGTTCTACAGTTACAGACTGTAGTCCATCTGTTTCTCTGATACTTTGTTAGCCCCCTTTTACCCTGTTCTTCAGTGGTCAGGACCCCCATGGACCCTCACAGAGCAGGTGCTATTTGGGTGGTGGGTCTGATCCACTTGTTCCAGCACAGCACACACTAACACACCACCACCACGTCAGTGTTACTGCAGTGCTGAGAATGATCCACCACCCAAATAGTACCTGCTGAACTCACAGAATAAGACGTGGTGTAAACGGAACATAAAACCCAAACTTCCTGAGCAGCGTTTTATTAAAATGTTGAGCCTTAAAATATAAACATATATAATCTAAAGATGAAGAATATTTAAAGCATGTATTCAGTTTCAGCATCGTTCCCAAAGTGCTATGCTGCATCACGCGGGTTCTGTGTTAAACGTTGCTCGCTGTTTCCGGGACGGCGCTCTGTTTTCAAACATGTGCAGACTGAGAGAAATGAAAGAAATCTGAGTGAGAAACCCCATCACTGAGCTTAAACCCAGCCTCTTTATCAGATTTCTGAATCAGATTTATAGACCTTAATCTGATCTAAGAAATGTTTACACGACCGCTCAGTGTAAGCATATTCAGAATCAGAATCATAGACCATAAAAGTCACTAACGCTCTGCTGACTCAAAGCTCCTCTGGCATTAACATCAGTGGAAAAACTGTGCCGGGAGCTTCATGGCAGGGTTTCCATGGTTGAGCAGCTGCACTCAAGCCTTAAATCACTGAGCACAATGCCAAGCGTCAGATGGAGTGGAGTAAAGCGCCGCCACTGGACTCTGGAGCAGTGGAACCGTATTCTGTGTAGTGATGAATCAGCTTCTCTATCTGTCAGTCTGATGGACGAGTCTGGGTTTGGCGAATGCCAGGAGAACGTTACCTGCCTGACTGCACTGTGGCAGCTGTAGAGTTTGGTGGAGGAGGGATGATGATATGGGGGTGTTTTTCAGGGGTTGGTCTAGAACCCTTAGTTCCAGTGAAGGGGAATCTTAATGCTTCAGCACCAAGACATTCTGGACAACTGTACACTTCCAACTTTGTGTGAACAGTTTGGGGAAGAACCTTTCCTGTTCCAGCATGACTGAGCCCCAGTGCACAGAGCAGCTCCATAAAGGCCTGACTGGGTGAGTTTGGAGTGGAAGAACTTGACTGACCCTCACAGAACCCTGACCTCAACCCCACTGAACACCTTTGGGATGAACTAGAACGGAGATTGTGAGCCAGACCCTCTCGTCCAACATCAGTGTCTGACCTCACAAATGCTCTTCTGGATGAATGGACAGAAATTCCCACAGACTCTCCAACATCTTGTAGAAGCTTCCCAGAAGAGTAGAAGCTGTTAGAGCTGCAAAGGGGACCAACTCCAGATTAATGCCTATGGATTTAGAATGGGATTCATAAAAGCTCCTGTAGGTGTCCTAATACTTTTATTCAACATAAACAATGAACGTTGTTCATTTGTTCCCATAGAGATAAACACCTCAGACCTCAAGCTCCTCACATGGACACTATACCAAGGCCAAACTAGGGCTGCTCGATTATAGCAGAAATCATAATCACAATTATTTTGATCCAAATTGAGATCACGATTATTTAACACGATTACTCTGAGTTTGGAAGCATCATGTATTTATTGAACTCATCTTTTTACACTGTAAAAAATGATTCGTCAGATCTACCTAAAAAATTACTTCATGTGGTCACAAGTAAATTAACTAGTTTAATTCAACCTACATAAATATTTTCAATGAAAGATTTTTCAATCAGTGCAGTTTTTTGAGTTCAGTTACTTGTTACCACATGAGGTTGATCTGCCGAGCCGTTTTTACAGTGTAACAGAGAATTTCCTTTAATTTCAAACATAATTCAACTGAAAAACAAATAAAATTGTAAAATGAAAAAAAAATGTAATATCTATTAATATACAATTTAAAAAATACATAAATATAAAAAAATTAATAAATGAGATCTACTATGTTGTAGCGCACTTCCACAACCTACTGAAAGCTACTAAACACATAGGAACATAATAAATAAAAATAAATCAGACCGAAATAAATGAGCTGAGTTTGGGCTTTGAGGTTCGGGCCGCTGTAAAGGAAAAGGGGAGCGCTGGATTTCAATTATCTTGTTCTCACAAAACCATAATCCATTTCACAAAATCATAATAAAAAATAAAATTCAATTCATGGTTGAGCCCTAACTCCAACTCCAGACTGACGACACGCCTTCAGAGCTCTGTTAAAGCCTTGGTTCTCTTCAGTGCGGGCCCTGGCTCACATCACCTGTATCACACACACTCCGCTCTCGCTGCACTGGCCTGGTGCTGCCCTCTAGTGGCCACACAACATAACAGCTTTTACAGGTTTAGGATTTTATATTTTGCTGCTTGACAATTTAAACACAGTCTGTGCTGCACACTTAAAAATGATGGCTCCTCAAGGGTTCTTTAGTAAAGAAAATGGTTCTCTATAGAACAACAAACACTCAAAGAACGCTTTGCATGCTTAAATGGTTCTTTGCATGGTGAAATTGTTCTTCAGATTGATGGAGAATGTGCTGAATATGGTTCT